GTAAAAGTCCGGAAAATCATCTCACTTTATAAAAATCCTTACATTTACCAACTCATGTTGGTAAATCCGAAGATTTACAAGTAAAACCTAGGATTTACCAGTATACGGGCTTTTACAGTAACATATGTATATATACACCATACTGAGGTAAAATGATAGCTAACTGAGTACCATAGTGGGTTATTATAGGCCATGGGCACTGAGTCATCCCCAGTTGGTGCCATAAATAACTAAGTTAGTATGGTTATATCTAAATTAAATATATCTGAAAGCAAAAGATCAGATGGAGGTCCAGGTAGTGTAACTGGAAATGCATCTGCACAGTGTTAGTTGTGGGTTTGAGTCCTACTCTGGGCTAATTATTTTCTTCCAGAATTTTCTAAATTATTTAATAATTATTGATTTCATTATAATTATTAAATTTAATAAGAGATACACCTAATGCCTACTTCTAGTGCCACATTACGCAGTATTTAATTATTATTAGTAATGGTAATGTAGCTTGGTTTAATCTGGAAATTGTTTATCAAAATTGGTATATTTCAAATCTTTTCTGGGGCTGGTTCCAGATCCTCTTTTCTCAAAGTACTTCATAACCCTAGAACCTAGTAAGACCATCCTTCACTTTGCTAAATCCACCTCTACTACAGTTGGTCTAATTGTCAGTCCCCAAAATTCAGATCCATACAACATTGCAATTAAAGCATTGAAAGTTTTATAAAACAGTTCTTAGACAAATAATAACTGCCTTATAAAACTTTCCTTTTAATCTGATTGATATTATTTTATCACAAAGTACTCTACTTGCATTCTGCCACTTTTGTCATCCTATTTTATACTGTTTGTTGTATTTATGTCTAACTCTCCTCTACATTGATCATAAGTACTTTCTCCACTCTTATTTATCTATCTCTAATAACTAACCTGCATTCTCTTGCTCTCTCTTTACCACAAAACTGTGTATGAACTCCATTTTCTCTCTGCTAAATTATCTAACCCAGTGGCGTAGCGTGGGTGTCAGCGCCCGGGGCAGAGGAAAATTTTGCTGCCCCCTTATTTAGGTATCTTAATTTAAAAGACTAAAATTCAGTTTCGTCACAGAATAAGTAATGAACAATTCCATGCTCATTTCAATCGGTCCGAATCGTAGGTGTGACAAAAATATGAAATGAAATGGTTCAAATTTTTACAAGATATTATTATTATTTATTGTGAAATTTTGCCGCCCCCTAAAAGTGCTGTCTGGGGCGGGCCGCCCCTATTATGCTACACCACTGATCTAACCTTTTGTATCTCCTTTACCAATTCTTTCTTATCTTCACTAACTAGAACTATATCATCTGCAAATAGTATGCACCATAGTTCTTCCCTGACTATACTCCCTAGCAATTCATTTAATACCAAGATAAAAAAATATGGACTTAATACTGAACCTTAATATAAACCTACTTCTATCCCAAAGCTTTCTGCATCTCTCTACCCTGTTTTAACTTGAATCTCTGACTTCTTGTATATATCCTGTACTCTTACATATTCCTCTTCTCTTATTCCTTTCCTGTCACATAAGATTTCCACTAGGAACCCAAACATAAATTTTTTCTAAATCTATAAATAGCTTGTTCAAATACCTCTTAGAATAAAATATAAAAGATAATTAAGTTAAATTTAAAAATAAAGTTATAATTGCAGACATGTAAGAAATTACTATTAAAAAAACACAAAGTGATAGAAATCTCAGATATAGACGTAAGGAAAAATAAATAAATAAAAATGATCTGAAAAAAGTACTTATGATCAATTTTAGAGGAAAGTTAGACATAAATACAATGTCTTCATATTATCATCTTGGCCATTACATTTATTAAATATTTGTTAATTAATAGACTTTTATGATTGTGCCATATCATTGAACTTTTTAATGTTTTTACATATTGAGGCAGATGAGTAGGCTCAAATAAAAGATCAACTCCACCATAAAGACTTGTGTTCCTGGGATGTTAAAAAAGGCCAAGAAAATGAAGACATTTATCATTTCTTCTGATTTTTGAATATTTTAAATTTAACTGTGAAGACATTTTGAAAGAGTACCTAAGGCTAGAAAGAGCAAAAATTGGTTTTCAACTAGTTTGTTATTATCGATCTCTTTCTGATCAATACAATTTGTCTGGAATTATATTGTAAAACTAAAAGAAATTGAAATTCTATAATTGACATCATAATTTAGCAGAAATACCAACAATATGTTATATATCATTTATCATTTGGAATTCAATTTGCTTTACAAAAATGTATACTTTAGAATTATATTGTAAAACTAAAAGAAATTGAAATTCTATAATTGACATCATAATTTAGCAGAAATACCAACAAGGTATTATATATCATTTATCATTTTTTGTACTTTGTTATCATTTTTTTAATCAGTTCATTAATGTCTGCCATCAAACAGAGTGTAAATGGTAATTGTGAGAGATTTGTAGTGTTAAAATGTTTCAAAAAAATTTTAATCAATGTTAGATTATTAGGAGTATCACAGACTTTTCTCTAAAATTCATAATACTGAATAATTAATACAGCTGTGTTAAAATTTACAAATGGTAATTGATATCGCCATATATTATATTGAGAACTTAGTTTGATCCCCTGGTATTTTGCAATGCTCTCCTCCTTGTTGCATTTTATAATTCTTCGCATAAACAATCAATATTAGTTTTTAAAATTAATCTGCACTAGGTAAAAAAAGTAAACATTTGTAATAATTATATAAACATTAAACAAAATGAAAAAAATACACAAAGTGATTGCAATTTATAAGGTCTAATTTTGAGTGATTTTAAAATATTATTCTATTGCATTGTAGGATTGTAAGTCTTATGTATAATAAGACTTACTTATTAAATCTAAAATTGTGAAAAAAAAATGTAAAAATTAAAATTTGGTCGACAGTATTTACATCAAAATATATATATAAAATAAAANTCAAATAAATCTTTTGAATTTATTTTGCATATGAAAATAATAAATTTTAATGACAATTGATAGCTTCTACATTCTAAATAAACACTGGACAATAATTAGCTTATAATCATTACAACTAATAGGTACCAAATGTAAATTTTTGAAGAAAATAATCTTTCCTGACAACATACTGAATCTATCTTTATGATATAATTCTTCTACTATTCAAATTAATCTGAATAATGGAATGAATATTTCTAGATTAACATCCTAAATTCACATTTAGACCGATTTCTTTCTATATTCCAAAATCAGACTTCATTTTTTTATGAGAAGAATAAATAAAATTACAATAAATATACATTAATTGTAATTTTCTAAACTTTTAGAAATCTGGATTAAATTTTTTTAAAATATAAAATTATAGGCCTATATTTTGTTGATTTAGTTTTATAATTCATACTTGTTCTCATTTTTGCCTTTTCATTCATCTCTTCTATTGAATATTTCTTGGGTTTTATTAATTTCTATAATTTTCTATACTTCCAATCATTTATGGCCTATTCTTATTTGATTTATAATAATAGCTTTTCTACCAATCTAACGTAACTTTTTCATAAGATATCCATTTTCCTCCATTCTAATATCAAAAGCAGATTGACAGCCAGATGGACAAGACTGTTAAGGTATCAGACAGCCTACCACTCTGGGGACCTACGACTTTGGGTGAGCAATTCCAAGTTTTTCATAGCTGGTCTGTCCTGAATATGTTGGGCCCTGTCTCATACCATCTGGTTTTCCCAAAGAAAAATAATAGTGTTTACAAAATAAAACTGAGATATTAAGTAAAATAGTAAAAAGTAATTCAATATTTTGTACAACAGATTAATAAATAAGGTATACTGTACATATCAAGTTTATCCAAAATTATATATTGTTATAATCTTCAATTATGTGATTTTTTAACGCCTGTTCTGATTATCTAGGATTATTTGTTTGCAACTGTAAAAGTTTCTGATGATCCTAATATACAAAGTATCTATATACATGTTTATTTCTTTCAGTCACCTTGGATTTCTTCATGGTCTATGTCTCTTAAGTTTGTAGCTGCAGTGCTGATGGTTAGATTGTGGGTAGATGATTTTCTTGGAATGACAGGACATTTTCTGCAATTTTATTTTGTATGTGCTCCTATGAAGCTATTTTTACACCTTAAAAGTTAGTAATATTACTAACATAAAATCCCAATAAAACAATTATTTACATTTATTATTGTTTTATAAGACCTATTACTGTAATAAAATTACTGAATAAACTTAGCAATAACCTTCCAACTGCCATATATCTTCGGGTTATAATTTGGCAATAATAATTATAACTCGCTAATAAATTTGGCCCTAGAGGGAGGCAGTTGGAAGGTTATTTCTATGTATTAGGTTTGTTGTGAATGTTCATATTTATATGAATAAACTTAGCTTTGTAATATTTTTCATCCCTATCTAATGACAATCATTAGAAATATCTGCATGTCATTTCTTTAAATTATAATTCAGTTTTCTTTGCATTAATCTCATTTAATAAAATGCTGGTTACAATATGAAATTCTATTTATTTTTTCATGAGTTCTTTCATCAAATGGTAAAGTTCTTTATATAGTTGTCGGTAGCCTAGTTGTCTTTATAAATTTATTTTATGAATCAATTTCTTTTTCTTCCATAAAAAAAAAAAGAACATTTCTTCATTTCTTCTTAACTTAGATGTATTATAAAAAAAACACTGCCTATTTCCACCACAAGCAATCAATGCATAGTTTCTTTGAAATTACATGTAACTAGCCACTTTAACTGTGAAAACATATAGATAAACTTCCATTAACCAATTCTTTTTTCGATCATTTGATCACCATCATTTCTGTATTTAAAATGTATACTGTATATAATTCAAACACATTATAATTATAAAAATACTCATAGAAAAATTATATTTAAAATATTGTATAGATTGATAAGGTATTAGAATCAGAAAGCATTAAATCATCTTACAATTGTAAAGATCGTCGTAAAAGCGGCAATAAAATTAATTTCATTTCGATCATTAATGCCAAACTCCTTTCTCTTCGAAAACACGTGTTTACATCATACACCTTTAGAAGCGCCACCTGCCATCATTAATCATAAAGATTTTATAATTATTCGGAATGTAATTAAATCATTAATATTAAAAATATACTGTATTAAGTAATTTCCAATTAGAGATAATAAAATAAATATTAAAATATTCTTTATATGTAATTTTTTTACAAAATAAACATTCGTTTCTGCTAATAAAAATTAATTATTTTTAGCTATTATTAAGTTTAAAAAGAAAATATAAATTAAAAAGAAATTTAATTTTTATTTCGTGGCGTATTACTGCACGGTATTTCAATTTACTGAATTTTAAATATATGTATTTTAAGAAATTTATTCTAATTTTTTTTCCATTTTTAAATTACTATATTAAAAACGTTAACTTTTAATAATATTAAAAAATTAACGAACGTAAATTAATAATTAAAATAATATAATTAATAATTCATTGTTTATTATTATCCACACCAGATGGCGGGACAAATTTTCGAAAATAATTCTTCGTTTAATAATTAATTTTCTTAATTAGTGTAATAAATTTTATATAAAGAAAAATTCTTGTTCCGAATTAAAATTAATCGTTAATTTATTACAATAAATTAAAAAAAATAAAATAAATAATATTGTTTACAAATAATTTTTTCGAATTTTTATTTGTGACAATTTAATATAATGATATCTTATTAAATTCGTCAGAGTAATTATTTAATCATGAATATTTAAATAAGCATAATTTTTACATTTAATAAAGTAATTTCCGAATAAACGTAATGTATAAATATTTAAAAAGGATTTGGTTTGAAAGGAAACCATATTTATTCACGGCTGAGATCACGTATTATTTATCTTAGGTTGCTACGAAATATTTTTGCGTATTTCTCTCTCTGAAAAATATATTTTTGCATAAGAAACTTTTTGATGTTTATTTCATTCTCTAAATAAAAACATCGATTCTTTCATTTCAAATTGTGTATTTAAAATTGAAAAAAAAAAAAAATCAAAATTGCCAGGAGGCGCTTTAACGATATCGTCTGTGTTTGTTGTAATTATTATTATTTTACTGAATATTATTATTGAAGCGCTCCTAAATTTTTGTATTATTTCATGATATAAAACTTTAAAAATTATATATATATTTAAAGGCATTATAAAAAATTTAAATATTATTTATTAAGCATTCAAACCGATATAAAAATGATAATTATGAATGAACAAATCTCGTACAGACATACAAATCGATTTTTAGTAATTCAGGTAGAGACGGTCCCCGCTAGCAATCACCTGCATTTGACATGAGCTGCGGAGTTTAGAGTTTTCACCCGCAACAAGAATTAATAATAGATTTATTATGCCAGATAATGTCATATACGTTACCATCCAATTTTACGATAGAAAAATACGTTTAAATAATATATAAGTAGTTGCGTATTGGTTAGTCGCTTTTTTTTAAATATATATCTAATTTTCCATGTGATTAGTTATTTAAAACAAAAATAATAATAATAATTATAATATCTACAGTTGGCAACAATACAAAAAAAAGATAACATCTTACGAGTGTTGCCAACTCTAACATTATAGTTTTATATATCAGGATCCAGATGTTCGGATATAGTTCTTATGGCCTATTCTTATTTGATTTATAATAATAGCTTTTCTACCAATCTAACGTAACTTTTTCATAAGATATCCATTTTCCTCCATTCTAATATCAAAAGCAGATTGACAGCCAGATGGACAAGACTGTTAAGGTATCAGACAGCCTACCACTCTGGGGACCTACGACTTTGGGTGAGCAATTCCAAGTTTTTCATAGCTGGTCTGTTTATTTTCTTCCAGAATTTTCTAAATTATTTAATAATTATTGATTTCATTATAATTATTAAATTTTAATAAGAAATGGTGCCTAATGCCTACTTCTAGTGCCAAATTCATTNAAATAATATATAAGTAGTTGCGTATTGGTTAGTCGCTTTTTTTAAATATATATCTAATTTTCCATGTGATTAGTTATTTAAAACAAAAATAATAATAATAATTATAATATCTACAGTTGGCAACAATACAAAAAAACGGTAACATCTTACGAGTGTTGCCAACTCTAACATTATAGTTTTATATATCAGGATCCAGATGTTCGGATATAGTTCCTCCATGCCCGTGACAACCCGCTTCATTACTTATATAGTTCCCACGATATTCATCCATTCTTGAAGATACCTCGTTTGCTTTCCCTTTGACGTATGTCACCCAGTGCACCCAAGAGGACAATAAGATGACGACAGATCCTGGGTCCGACCGACCGGCCGAACAAATTGTGTAATTAGCTGTTGTGACCCACTAGACCTCGGGGGAACCTGAGCAGAAACTCGAACGATCCGATTAGTTTCTATAAGGCGCGCGCGGGCGTTTTTACAATTGGAGCGTTCAGAAAGAAATAAAAATAATAATAAATAAATTCAGTCTTGCAGGGTTGTATGTTTTGTTGTATATGTCTATATATGTATTAAAAAAAAAAGGGAGGGAACTCCTGCCATTTGTCACAATGAGTCAGTGTCGTTGGATTATTTTCCGGACAGGTTTATCGATTAGTTAGGACAGGACAAGTGGTGGTCGGAGTCATGAATAAATGATGGGTAACGCATTACCCACTTTATTACTGAAGAAGGAAGCTAGACGATTCTATCCTAACACATCGCGTTTCATTAACTCCTTCCCCCTTTTATGCTTTTTTCCCCTTCTTTCCTATCCTTTACCAAAACGTCCAGCGCAACAGGCCAATTCAAGATGTCAGGAAAAATCTCCAAAAATCTCACCTATTTAATTCGATCTTGGCTAGACTCCAGTTCATCCGTGCACCCGGTTAATTGGATAGCCTAAATTAAAGGTCTCCAGTTGAGTTTTGTATAGAATATTTAATAGTGTTCTGTCCTCGGATGCGGAACTTATCTTATTATTGATCGATCGCAAGTTTATGAATTAAATAAACTTCGTTTATTAATCGGATAAAATTTTAAATTATGTCAACTCAATTCTTGATTGATATTTTGCCACCGGCGACGTTTCAAAGATAATGTTTTTGTTTAAAAAATTTCGAAAACACTTATTGAAATTAATACAAAAATTTTTACTTTTAGCACATTTAGCCTAATTAGTGCTTATTAACGAAGGAATGTAACCAGAAGATTAAAGTTGGAAGAATCTTTCACTTCGAGAAGGATCTTGTGTAGCAAACCTACAAGAGAACCACTAATGTACAATTGTCTTGCTTCTAGAGGATCATGAAAGCTCTTGTGTAACTAACATGTTTGTTGTTAATGATGTGGATGTCGAAAACCGCTGCACGCACAATTTTATATACAAAAAACAAACCCTAGATTAAAAAAAATCGATCCTAATGTAGTAGCATTCTATATTTTGCATGAATGTAACCAGACATTTATTATTTTATAGAATTTGCTCTTTTTTATCGCTTCACTTAGTAACGTGGGCGTTTTATTTATAGGTCATTCATAAATTTCATATTTTTTCACAAATTTTGATTTTTTCTTTTATTTTTTTAATACATATAGTAAAAGTTTCTTAGAATTTATTACTTTCTTGTAATAAGAATTCTCAAAAGAAAACGTAGATCAATAAAAAGAATCAACTACTTTATTTTAGCCCGGATTTATACATAAACTAAACAAATGATACAATCACGCTATGAGGGTATAATTTAGGGCCTTTTTAAAATTTATTATTATTTGCCGGAAAAGAAAGATTTCTAATAGTCTATATTATAGCTTAGGGTTACACGAATTTAAATATAGTCAAGCTCATATAATAATAAAACTAAATTAAGTTTAGAAAGTTTCTTAGAATTCATTGCTTTCTTAGAATAAAAAATTTTCCGCAGAATTCATAGATTCATGGAAATTTGCATCTCAGATTTAATGGGATAAGGTAACGCAACACATGGGCGATCCGGCGAGACGAGTGCCTCCCGAGAAGATTATTTATGGGAAACTGACCCCTATTTAGGTGTTAGACAAGTGAAGGAAACCCGGAAAAGTCCACGTGGCCAGTCGGTCAGGCACGAACCCCTCACCAACTACCAGTGTTCAGTGATTTTATCCACTAGGTCGCTGGTGGTCCTGGAAATCTAAAACTCCATTATTGGGCCGTATTTACACGTAATCAAACAAACTATAGCTTAGGGCCTAGCACTACGAAGGTATAGTTTAGGGCCTTAGGGATTTAAATGTTTTATCAATTGCTGAAGGGATTAATAATACCTTTAAATCAAATTTTATAACATTTATATAAAAATGTTTTCGGCTTCTTACATGTTATAGCTTACGGCACATAAATCTAAATCCAGTTCTGTCTATTTCATGTAATAATAGAGATTTTACCGAAAAATATATATTTATAGCACATGAATCAAATCATTTAGATCCATGTTTGAAGGAAATATTTCCTGATTGTCCTCGAGATTGAATGTGGTAACGAAAGATATAAATTTATTGTCTTCTGTCAATAACTACGTTGATGGATTTCTCATAAAAATCATATAAAAAGTACACACGGAGGCATTATTACATACTAATAAAAAAAAGTGTATTAATTTTTATATCTTTTACAATTATTAATGTTTAAATAAATTGATTACATAAATTCGCCTACATAAGCCTGCTAATTTAATTAAGTAACTTAATAATGAATTTCGGATCTTTTTCGGTGTATAATTTAAAAATTTATAATAAAATTGAATTATTAAATAATTTATAGTTTTGGGGACTAAAAGTTCTATTCAATTGCGAAAATAGTGCAGAAATTTTTATATGCTTAATAAATATAGGCCTAAATGCGTAAATAAATATGTTTCCGATTTCTTATGTTTAAAGTTTTAACAAACTAAAATTAATTCAAATCTTATAGAATTGTTGTACAGATAAAGCCGAATTCATACGTAAGTTAAATAAAAATTCGGCCTTGCATTACTAGGGTATAGTTTAGGGTCTACGGCTTCTAAAATTACTATTAC